GTTGTTCTAACCCTAACCCAGTGATGGTGAACCTTTTAGAGACCGAGTGCCCAAACCTCTACCCAAAACCCACTTATGTATTGCAAAGTGCCAACACTGCAATAACACCTGAAAACAGCCAGTCCAAATATATATATATATATATATCCTTGGCAGCACACTGACCAGCCATGCGAAAGCTCAGATGAGTCACGGCTAATGTGTCGCGGCTTGTGATGTCATCGCCTGGCACCACTACTCCCTTCTGAGCATGCGCATGGCCCCTGTGTGCGCTGTTATCCAATGCTTGGTGCTGGAGCAATGCTGGGGCAACTTGGCTCACATGTCAACAGAGAGGGCTCTGCATGCCCGCTGTGGCAGGCGTGCCATAGGTTCTCTACCACTGGCCTATACCATGGGAAGATGGGGGGGGGGTTTGGTTATTATTTGTTTCTGTATTTTTTCAAACCTCCTTGGATGCCGTGGAGGGAGAGAGGTACACACTTGCATTTATTTAGTAAATAAAAATGAGGGCAAGTCCTAACTACATCATTAGAGAAAAGGCAGAATAAAAAGTTCTAAATCAAATATAATACAGTAAGGGAAATGGGCAATATGGAGCTAACAGCTTTAAATTAGCTTTTTCTGAAAGAAGCACCTAAAAATATTTGTCTAAAGATTTGCTCAAAGTTGCTGGATCCAGGTTTAGTCCTTAATGATTTCAAGGGTCTTTCATTCAATGCCTGAAACCATTAAGATTGTTTGGATCAAAACAACCATATGCGTAGTGGGGTTTCCTGCCTGTGCTCTCATCATAGCCTCTGCACTTCTGAAAGGTCATTTTTGGGCCCCAAGGGAATTGAATGAAAGGACTATTTTGTATTAAACTGAAGCAGGGCAGGGGATGAAAAAATTCGTGAGCTTTTTTTTCACACACACTTTGGATCCAACCATGGTGTATACACCAATGTACAACACCATAACGCTGATCTTTTAGGGCCTTACACACATTCAGGGATATTTGAAAGCTTCTTAGTTACAGGATAATGAAGATGAAAATGAAAACATTACAGGAGAAATTTTGTTTCGAACATTTTTCAAAGTATTAAACAAAGGATTTATTGTAGCATTGTAAACTATTATATAGATATATTCAAAACAATTTCACAGTTATAGCAATTACAGTAGATGAAATGATGAGAGTTCGTCTCAATATAAAATGGAAGTTTTTGAGTTTGCATGGTCAAGAGAAGAAATGCTCAGTTTTGAACCAAGTGAGCAGTGTATATTCAAAATAAGGACTTCATTTGAAAAAGGGGGTTTTGATGGGGGGAAACAAAGAAATTGGAAAAAATGTACTGCTCTTATTAGCTTAATAACTAATCCTTCCCTAGAAAAAATATATTCAAATACAGATGTCCTACATAATCTGAATGTACAGTGCTTCTTCAAAACCAAGTATGAAATACAGATAAAGCCAATAGGAAAAATAGATTGGTGCTAAGGTTTTAAGGGATAATCTCTTCTTTCACCAGTTCCATTTCTGGAAGGATAAGTCAATAAGAAAGCCTTCATCTACTACTATTGTGCATTATTCTGCAGCACTTCTGAACTGCACAAGATGGTCACTCAAGCAGTACTCCTGAAACTCAATCTACCCCTCCCTCTCACAGAAAAAGGAGGAACAGATTATTAAAACCTTCAAGAAAAGGTAATTGTTTTTTAATAAAAAGCAGTCATCACCAGGATCCAAAACGACAGCAACTTCTGAAATTACTTTTCCATCTAATAATTTAAAACATTGTGAAATGGTATCTGAGTCTAGAGTAGCCAGAAATACTAGGTATGTTATCTTTTCAGCCTTCCTCTACATTTTCTCACCCCTACTTAACACACAGGGTTGCTGAAAGGCTAGAACAGAAAGGACCAAGTAGGCTGCCTTGAGTTACTAGCAAGCAGGGGAAAGCAGCATATAAATGTGATTTATGTATTATGCATACTAGAATGTACCACATTTCACAATTTTACTTTATAAAGCAAGGACAGGACATTGGGAGATGTGCTGGAAGTTGAAATATCTAAATTAAAGCTGATGCAAATATTCAAGACTTCATTCCATATTTTAGTAGTGACCTAAGAAAGAGATTTAATGGGGCTGTGCTGCAGAGCTCTATGAAAATATTGACCAGTCCACAGTTGTTGTAAAAAAAGGACAGCTATGAGGGCTTCTACAGCAGTGCCACACACACAACAATTCTTTCAGAGATCTCAGGAATTCAGAAGGACCATTAGCCTTGGAGGGTGAGCCATATGAATCAGTCCCCACCTTCAAAGAGAGGCATGGTCACTTCTGACCATGGCAAGGGGCTAGATGTAATTCCCCCCTCCACACATTCAGATCACGAGTTTCCTGCCTGTCAGAGAAAACAAGATATAGGTATGATCTATCACATGGGTTAGGCTGATGACAAACTGGGTCAGCCCCATAGTTATCATGGTAGCCATGAAGTCATGCACTTCACCCAGTTTCCTAGTATCTATTTTGAAACAGATATATCAGTTTCTTAGTGATAACTTTTCACTATCAGAGAAAACTGTATGTTGTGGACCAAAAACAGATGAAGGTAAAATACGAAAGATAATGACCTGCTGAAGGCTTCAAAGCAAGCTGACTTCACAAATATTTAGTGCTATGCTATCCTCACAACTCCTAAACAGAACTTGCATCACTGCAGTCCTAGACCAGTACTCTAAATCTAGCAGTTCCAAAACTTTTTCAGTCATGGAATCTTTATGAAGACTTTTCTCCCCCATAGAACTTTAACTTTATCCCTGATTTTTACTAAGCCTTAAGAATCCACAATGTTCTTCCTTCTTTCATCTGCTCCTATTGCCTGAGTGCTTTGCATAACATAGTAAGTTTGGAAATAAAAGGAAAACATTTTAAATATAATGATCAAATAAAGCAATTATATGGTAATTTCCCAAATTAATTCTTTTGATTATTCCCAACACTAGGCAATACTGTCCTAGGAACCAAACGACATGATGCATTCCCTTGTTTGCTGCTTGGATGCCAACTGACAATCAAATAGCTGGCCTCATGTGGTTTCATGTTAAAATCTGTTTTAATTTTGATTTCTGAGGCGCTCCCACAAGGCTTTTGCAGAACCCTAGGGTTCCACAGAACACAGCTTGGGAACCAGTGCTCTAATCAACATATTGTGCTGGCTTCTTATGTTGATCTGTGCTTGCAATATATGTATGTTGGTGTATGCCTGCACATTACGCAGAAACATAAGCACTTAATCTTATTTTATGCCTGCTTGATGATTGTTTAATATAGTTGCTTAGATATATGCAACAATGATTCTGTGTAACTGCTACATCATTGGTCTTCTATTACTGTTTAATGCATATATAACAAAAGATGCTAGAGGAAAGCTGGAGCTAATTTTTCAACATTCAGGTCTGCTTCTGCACTGCAGGTTCTGTACTGACTCCCAAAAATTATCCTGAAAATTATCCCCAAACCCAGGGGAAGCCAGGATATTAATCTCAAAATCAGCAGGGAAGTGAGAAAGATAGATACTGCTGTTCTAACAGTTGATAGAGTAGTCTGGTGGGCTTAATTTTTGTCTCCATGCTATGATGTATAAGCATTAACAAATTTTTTATCCACATCATCTAATTCACAAATAGTTTCCCTGTGCTTCCCTCTTTCTCCCATTCCCTTATATAATGACACAGGAGTAGTCCCATTATTCTATTAGTAGTAAGCCACTGGGTGACTTTGGACCAGTCACTGGTTCTTAGCCTAAGCTACCTTACATGGCTGCTACGAAGATAAAAATTAAGAGAAGAATTATGTATACCATCTTAGACTCCTTGAAAGAAAACACAGAATATCACTGTAACAAACAGGTGTCAGACAAAGTTCAATAGAGAACTTCAATGGGAGACGAAATTCCCAAACAGGTGAATATAAAGATAAGGTTCCAAGAAAAGTTAACATATAATGCAAATACCATACATGTTTAAATGTCAGAAAGGGGGGCACTTTTCAGTGCCTGAGGTACATCTCTGTTTCTGTTGCTACTTAAACAAAGGCCTGCTAGCAAAGAGAGACCTCTTTATACTCACAGTAATTTGTATTTTTAATTTTAAGGCAAATAGTGATTCATGATGAAGTAGAACAATCCTTGATCTAGTTAATATTTTCCACAACACAAAAATCAATAAGTGGCAATCAAATTACATACCATTAGGAGTTAGGGCTTCAAAATGGAAATTATTTCTAGAGGCAGAAAATTCACAAAGAGAACACTCATCACAAAGTACATACATAACATCTAAGTGACAGGCATCATGGAATCCTAAGAGATCTATTCAGAAACGTTCTTCAGATTTGACACTTGATTGCTCGCATTACTCTGATCAGCAAAGTAATCTAATGTAACAAGGTTGGGAGTTATTTAAAAGATTCACTTACAATTACTAGCTGCATTCTCAGTTTCATCATCCAGATTAATTAACCCTCAAATGTTAGGGCTGATGCACATGTTACAGCTGACATAGGTACACCATCAGAAATGGCACTGCTGTGGTACATTGTTCCCGTGTCTGCCAAAATGTATAGAATTGCTAATTGCAAAAATATCCATCAGGTTTGCCATTTCTGCTTGTGAACATCTGCTGCTAAAAAGTTATATGGTTCTCATACATTTAAGAGCACTAACAATAAAGAATACTACCAGAACTATACAGTTGGAGTTGTAGGGGGCCAAAAACACAAGATAAGCAAGGCATTCTGGCCTGACACTTCTAATCACAAGAAGCAACCATTGTACATTTCCCTGTGGAAATTTCCCTTGTTGCAAAAATTGCCACTATGTTATATATTTCAGCTGCCACCCACAACCCCAAAACATTTCTATTTGATCAAATGTCTTAATGCTCTTAAGTTATGTGACATCACTCTTACAAATATGGTATTAGTCGTAAGTTAGAATTTCAAATACCTCTGCACACTTTAAAGATGATCGTTCCCTAACTGGAAGGCTACGGTTGTTTTCTTTTGCTGCTTATACTAGGACTTTTGCCAGATTTCTTCCAACTGTAGCTAGGAAAAATGATAGATTACTAAATTTCAACACATGAGAAATGCCACTTTTTGGTATAATAAACTCATTGCTGTTAGCCACCCATGAATATGCTTTGCTTCACAAAATGTCCATTGTTATAATTTGGTCATTTCACACACCAATGATTAATCTCAACAGAATACATTCTAAAGGACTACATCAGATTATTTAAAAAAAGAATAGAAATGGTCGGGGATCAAAACATGAATATGGAAGTTAAGAAAAATTCACACTGTCTGTTGTGAGGGGTGACACATTACATGCTGCCTTTCCAAACATACAGTCCCAAGCATCTGTAGGGCACCAGTTCCTACATTTCTGTCCACACTGGCTGAAACTGGTGAGCTGTGGCCAAACCTACCTGGAGGACACCACAATGGGAAAGACTGTACATGTTTGCAGGCATATGCTCCTGGAAAGAGACTATGTCTTACATCCCAACTCATCATAATGTACATTTATATCTCTTCAATATACCTAAGGGTATGTGCTGATAGAACAGTTTTAGGATCAGATTAGCTAGTACTAAATGTGCCACTGGGAGCTACATCTGGGTGTTTAAAAGAAAAAATAATACTAGTCATGGGGATTGCAGTATGCAGCAAAGGAGCGTTTAACCAATGAAAGCAAATTGCAGAATTGGAGGATTTGTGTTGGAGCAGAGTTCATAGGGAGCAAGAGATGAACTTTCTCTCCTCATTTTTAAAACTGAAGGAAGACGTACACACTAGTATTGCTTAAAAGACTTATTTCTGAGTGTTATTTTTGCATTGTGTTGTTTGATCTTGAGCCCTCTTCACACAAAACCACATCAGTATGGGAGCTGATGGCTATGTAAAAGTTCTGCAACTATATGGGGAAGGGGATCATTCAGACCTCTCAGCATTATTTCTCCTAGCATTGCTACCAGTTTAGAAAGGCTTAAAACTTCGCAGACCTGAGATGAATTTAACCCCTAAATTGCAACAATGCTCCCCCAACTTAGTTTTTAAGTATGTATCTTTATTCTTTTCTCTTAAATCTTTTATCCAATTTCTCTTAAAATGTGTTTTTAATGGTGGTGGTGCTGCTGCTCCTGAGCCACCAAATGTTAGGACATAACTGAGTGAGCTTATCTTTCCAGTGAGCTATACACACAAATAATATAGACCAAAAGGGCCATTATTTTGATCAGCTGTGTGGAAAATACATGAACCTTACTACTTTCTCCTTTTTATTTTACATATGAACAGAAGTCACCAAACATCACTGATTTTGCTGTTAGACAAAGTTTTCAACAGGTTTTATATAGTCTACCCTAGTCTTAGAAGACACTGCCCCAAAAGCACCCATAAACAGAAATAAGCTCTAACAGCAGTAAGAAATTATAGGATCCATCCTATTCATGTTTAGACAGGTAAAAGTACAATTCTCAGTTTGACCCAGTCAGCATGGGGCATAGATTGTGCCCTAAATTATCTCTCAGAAGCAGATCATGATTTGGATGCTGAAAATCCACGTTTCATTTCTGTGCAAGAATAAGGGCAGTTCCTAAAATAAGCATGCCTTGAGAATGCACTGGTACAAAACAGAGTAAAAAAAATCATGGAAACTTCTAAACAAAAACAAAACAGTTCTGCTTTTGTTGAAAATGAAGACAACAACATCCAAAAGGTTTTGCTTATAAACTTCTCTGTAAATTAATTTCACTTTACAGATCTTAATCCATTCATTTATTTTGCATTTATCTAGTGCGCTGGACTAGATGCCACCAAAAAACCTGTTTTTACATATCTTAATGGGAGAGTGACTTCATATTAGTTTTGAGGACTGACACGTGCTTTAAATGATAAAAAATTATTTTGTGCATCAAAATTAAAAATTCAAACAGGCTCAAACATTTGCCTATTTTGTTAAAACAATAAGAAAGTATTTCCATCAGCCTCAGCTTTATCATTAGCTCATGTCTCCAAACTCCACCTGAAAATCATTCCCATTCTTCCAATTAGCTTCTATCTCCAATACTTGCCAGTGGCTGAGCAAGATATCCAATATAGGTTTTTCTGCATACCATTCTGAGAGCTTGCCTAATTGAACAGCACAGAAATACTTAAATAAAAAAGTTACAAGTACACTAAATTAATTCCATCAGTATCAATGAAAGTTAAAAAAATATTGAGACAGTTTCTTAAGCAATCAATATCTATGAAGAATGTACACCATCAACTCTTCATATTTTCTTTAACCAAGGCAGGCAGCATGTAAGCTAAAAGGTGGATGAGCTACTGAAACACCAAGTTTGTTCAAAAAATGAATACATTTGACTCCATCTCTCAAAAGACATGCCTGCTAGGCTGCAATGTTATTTATTCCTACAATATCTCATCAGCCAAACTGATAATCAGATGTGGATCATTCCACTAAAACCACTATGAACACATTCATGCTCCAACACCTAAATAAAGTGTATGTATAAAAATGAAAACAAGCCTTAAGCATCAAATGTTAGGTCTAATATTTAGCTAACTACCTCATAACAGATTTTTAAGGGGTTAAAAAAGGCAGGAAGGAGAGCGAAGCACACATTAAAACTGACTCAAACATTACTGATGGAAAAAAAACAGGAAATGCATACATGGGGACAAAAGCCCACTATCATCTCTAGGTTTTATGGGAAACTGCAGCTTTTCTTTTAAAAAACAAAACTAATACAAACCACACAATTCTGTACGTCTGATAAACAGCTCTCAAATGGCACAGAGCATTTAGATTTATAACCACATAAGCAAAAATAAACAAAATGTATTTCTAAGCTATATAAGCAAAATCAAAAGTCACACATGCACACAGGCTTCTGCTTGCCCTATTAAGCATTCTCAGCAGCCCCTCCTTGAGACTCTGCTACAGATGGTACCCCAAGGCTCTAGAGCAGATGCTGAGCAGTGCAGAAGGTTGCAGTGGTGAGAGAAGGGGAATGACACCTGCCTGTTACACAGAAGGAAGCCATTATAAGGACAGGGTCTGCGCCTCCCAGATTCTAAGGCAACTACCCCAGGTTCTGAATCTGTACTCAAAAGAAAGGAAGAGTTGGAATTCTTAGCTGAAATGCCAAAACCAACATGCTGTGAAACAAGCCAAGCGGCTGGTAAGACCCAGATCACCTGTGGTTCAGGGCGGGGGGGGGGGAGCAGTGGGAGAAACTGCTGGGCAGGCAGAGCTAGAAGGCTGGTCAGCTCTCATAAGCTAAGCCACTGAGTGGCATCCAGTGTCCCAGACATCTGGCACACCTGCAGCAGGAATATCCCTGAGGATGCAACAGAATCTAGTTGGTTGGGAAGGAAGATTCAGTTTGGAATAAACATGTTGACCTGAGTGGTACTTTCTCTCTCTCTCATTACCTGGTTTATTTACTAGGATTGTATTTTGCTTAGGACTTCTGAAATAGGTCCTTAGCAAAGGACCTATAGTACCACAAAGTCAGCCTGGTGGCCACTGAACCATAATAAACCCTGGTCTTGATCAGCTTGGAAGAACAAATGAGATGGGGGGGAGGGGGTAGATCAGTTATTGACAGCTATTCTGTTGATGGGAATGATTAACCAGCATACACCTAATCTGCTACACTTATCTGCTATACCACAGAAAAGACTACTACTTCGTATGTTCAGGGTTAAAGAAGAAAACTCTAATTCAATCCACATATGACAAGTGTTATTTTCCAAGTATAAACTCAGAAAAGCTGCCTCTCTTATATAATATTAATTCCAACACAAACAGCAGTAATATGAAGGCATGGCTGGAATTTAAACAAACATTATCTGAATACCATACCAAGGTCTTCTGCCTGACCCAGTTTCATCAACCAGTTGCTATCTCATTATACGTTTCAGCATCAAGGCTAATTACATAGGTCGAATGTTCAGAATGTTTTGATTATTTCCTATAAGGATAATTAAAAGATCACTATTGTTAATGTTAAGAAACAAAGAAACTCCCTTTTAAGAGGAGATTGTTTCCAGCACCAAAGAATTAACAACCTCAACCTCCCCTTGAACCTAAGCTTTTCCTACAAGGTTATGCCTTTTTGACTACCTTCAAAGCACTGGATCTTACATGGCTGACTAATTCATTTCCATCTGAATCCACAGAAAAAGAAACATCCTTTACTAGCTCATATTTTGCAACAACCCATAGCAATGAACTAAAACATTGTTATTAACACTTTAAAAAGAGAGGACAAAACATTAAGAGCCTACTAAACTGAACAGAAAATTAAGTTGGGACATTATGGGACAATATCCATGATCTGGCCATGTAGGTCATTTATCTGAGGCAGATACTTTGCATTAACTTTCCAAGGTGCCAGTTTCCTATATTTTTAAGGCATAACTATGATTTAAAGGACTGATGCAGAAATAACAATTTGTGCAGCACAATTAGATGCATGTTTACTCAGCAAATTCAACTGGTCTTATTGCCTAATAATTGTGCCTAGAAACTACTGGGACTACAGAAAGAGACTGCAGAAATCCACTTTCCTTACCACCTAATTTTGGTGGGTCCAACCATAGTTAATCATGACAGTTACATGGTAACCACAATTACAAATGTTGCAACTATAGCTCTGGTTTACCAGGAGTCTCACTTAGCTGGATCTAAAACTAACTTAAAACTTTTATTTCAGATCTCATGACAGAAACCCTGATTGGTTCTAAACCTGGTTAGCATCACCACATTAACGATTAATGCAACGTAATGCAATCAGTAATTATAGTTAAAAGAAAAATTCATCCTTCCAAAGAACTGGGGAAGGCAATTCTATGCATGTTCCAACTGTTTTAACCTTGACCATGCAATTGTAAAAGCTGTATTTGCTTCAATACACAGCAGCAAGTGCATTTAAAAATATAACATGAAAAGTGAGCTTTCATTGTCCTTTCCCTCTACAGTCAAGTATCTTTTCCATAGCTTTTGTGTTGTCAAAGCACCGTATCTTTAA